TATGTGTTTTCCTCTTTATTATCGACTGAGTTTTGTATTTTTAAGAACAAACCAGGTTGCCTATATGAGCTTCCAGCATGCAGAAATTCATTTAGAGTCACTAGTAATTATGAATAAAACTATAGTATCCCTTTGTGGTTGTTAACAACCCTGGGTCATTAGCACATTAGGCATGGTCCTTGTTTAATCCCTTCCCTTATGGTTTGAAGTACTGTTAGGTTTTGATTAACAACTGAACCTGAACATCAGCATCTGTTGGTCACGTTTTAGCATTTATTATATATAGACCATCATTTGGATTAATATACATGATTTAGATGCTTTGCTTGTTATCATATGTGGTTTCTTATTGATGGCATAATTCATTTTGTATGTATGCAGTTTGGCTGCACTATGTTGCTGCTGCATGCTGGAGGAATGCTGCTTCTTTCTATGATATTTCATCAAGAGTGAACTATTTCAATTTACATGTGTGGTTTTGCTACACTTCTTTGCTACTATTTGGGGGAGAAATGCTGCTCAAAATGAGTTCTACATGGCATTGTTATGGGAGTCGTTACTGTCCTGTTAACAGTCATATGCTTGTATGAGTTACATGCTCATCCGATTTACTAGTTTATCTGCTCAGACTTTGTAAACAGAAGTTTCAATATTATAAATATAGCTCTTGGTTCTCGTTGTATATTAATTTATTTGCATCTTTTGCTTGGCCTTCCACCATGCTGATGTTCCTCATGGTTCATTATTCCCTTTCTGTAGCTTTTACATGAAAGATAGCTTTTGTATCTCCTTTCAAAATGGCTTTTCAAATTATGGAATGGTCTACAAACTTTATGCCACCTCCCTGATGAAGAAATTAGTTTTAAACTCCCTAGTCTTAAGAAGCAACCTAGAGAATCATGAAGGTTTAAAATGTTTATGCTGCTTTTCAAAGCCATGTATCCAGGATCCTCCAGCTACCTTTCTTCCTTTTTGATTTTCTTATTGCTACTGCTGCCTGTAATTATATCCATCCCCTAATCCTGCCAAACTTGAGCGGTAAACTTTATACAATAATGTAATGTCTTGTATGCTCAAACTTCCAAATGTATAGCATTTTGAAGTTTGACCCAGGTTCAACCCCAACAATTCTGTCATTCGGCAATCAACTGATGTAAATCCGTGTTGACATCAACACCAAGTCATGAGTTTCGCAGAAGAAACTTTTGGGATTCTGCAGCATCCATGACTAGAAGTTTAACACCACAAAAGGGGATGTTGAAAATGGAAACTGCTTGCAAAATGTATTTAAGATTGTCAACAAAATATCTTGCCATGGGTTCCTGTAGAACTTCACTAAGCACCAAACTTGGAGGATGATTGCTCAGCTTTCAAAGAGCTGACTACTATTTTGAAATGATTCGAGTCCATAACCACCTTGCCTGCATCCGCAGATGATGAAGTCATCCTCACTAATGGTTTTTACAATTCCATGTCATAATCATGATTGAGGCTTTAGCACATGATGAACTGACCGCTCCAGTAGGGCCCCGGCACTTAAAATAAATTTGGGGAGCTTTCCTCCTCCCACAGCCCTTCAAAAGCTCAAACCGTTCCTAGACAAAGTTCCTTCAGTCAACCCACCGCCCCAGTAAAGGCTTATGGGGCCGGTTCCAAATGAACCCCAAGTTCATTGCTGGAAATGATGGCAAAACTTTCAGTGGTTGATTCTGGCAAATACACTAGAACAGATCGATTCATAGTAACAAGGATTACAAATAGCAAATCTCTTGTAAATTAAACAACAGTAGCATACAGCTAAACCACCAACAAGCTAAGAATCCATAAAAATCAGTTGTCCTAATAAAGTACAACTACTTAAATAAAGTAGACAAGACATGGCAGAGCCAAAACAATGCACCTACAAAATCCACACAAATTCTGGTGCATCTTCCCTATGCCCAACCAATGTTCGATACAGATACATCTTTTCTACCTTCTGCCTATCATCAAGGCTAAATTCCATCTGATCGGTATCATTTATGATCTCCACGCTCAGGCTTGGCATCTTCTCTGCAAGTGTCTTGCAGCCTCCGAGGGTAACTTCGCAGGAGGACATCCAAAGGGATCGCATTGTTTCATACTTTCCCACGTCCTCTAGAAGTGCTGCATTACCAAAGGGGCAGTCCCTGATCTCTAGCTTGCGAAGCTTCTTGCAACCATTCAACACATAGAGCATTCCTTTGTCACTGTCAGCAGCAAAAGCAATGGACAGCATTTCAAGCTGCTCAGCATACATTCCTATGTAAAGGAAAACCTGATCAGTCAGAAGGCCAGAGAGTGATAACCGCTTAAGACCCTTGCAAGACTGAACAATTGCCCCAAAACCTTCATCCAACGGCTGATTGGTCACAGCGTCAGGTTTTATGGGATCCAGGATGCACAATCTGAAGCGAATAAAATTAGGGCAGTTCTTGGCTACAGTTATGAGGGCAGCATTGGTCATCTGCTGACAGAAGTACAGCAATGAATTGAGTTTAGTACAGCCTGCGGATACAAGGACCAAACCTTCCTCCGTTACAGCAGCATTTCCAGCCCCATAAGGATCAGATGGAAAAACCCTCAATTCCTGCAATTCTTTACATGTTGAAGCTACAACTCCTAGTCCTTTGTCTCCAATACAATCAAGTATCTGCAACACGTATATCGATTATTGTCATTCAATAAAATTTAGATGGACACCTACAACTGGATTAAAAACAAGTAAAGATCATACCCATAGACGCTGAAGTTTCCTGCAGTGGTGAATCAGCTTTGTGAGCTCATTACCATGAAGGCCTGGGGCATAGCTCAAGTTCAAGAAGGTCAGGTTTGTGCAAATTGGATAAACAGCTGGCATGCAACGAGGAGCAACCTCCAGAAACCCTGATAAACTCCTGATCGATTTGCACCTTTGAAAGGCAGATTTTAATTTGTTATAGACCTCAGAAGATGGATCATGTACATAAGATCCAGTACCCAAGTCCACCACTTGAGGTGCTCGCATCAATATTTTCTGGAGGGTCTCAAGAGGCACTGCACGGTTTAGCCTCAAACTCTTGAGGTTGGGGGATCTCGCTACAAGTCTTTCAAGAGCCCCTAAGCTTATCTCTCCTTTGAGGCATGC